TTGGATACTACCAGTATTTCAAAATACCAGCAGGGTCACCAGAGTGGACAGGTTTCACCAGAGCCACCAGAATAAGACAGCCTACTAAGGAGGACCTGATGGTCTACTTAGAAAAAAATGGCCAGTGAAAACATTAAGAATAGCAGCAAAACACTGTCTAAGACGGTAAAGGAAAATGAGCCCCTTAGCTGGAAGGCAGCAAAATACAACTAAGGAAAAAAGTAGAGTGGATCTTAACGATGTGGATGGAGTAAAGCTTTTAGGACCTTTGTTTGCTCATGAGGCATGACTCAAAATGAGCATAGTAACAAACATCCATTAATAACTGGCATGTGGAATGTTCAATGTATAAATCTAGGAACACAGGAAGTCATCAAAAATGAACTTGAATAAATAAAGATCAATATTCTAGGTATTAGTGAGCTGAAATGCACTGATACTGGCCATTTTTAATGGAAAATCAAACGGTCTACTATACCAGGAATGACAAATTGAAGAGGAACAGCATCACATTCATTTTCAAAAAGAACATTTCAAGACCTATCCTGAAACACAACTATCTTAGTAATAGAGCAGTACCTATATGCCTACAAGGAACCAATTAATATGACTATTATTCAAATTCATACACCCATCAGTTATGCCAAAGATGAATAGAAGCTTTTACCCAACTCCTGTCATTTGAAATTGATCAAACATGAATCAAGAAGCATTGATAATTACTATTGATTTGAATATGAATAAAGAAGGACCAGTAGTTGGAAAATTACGCCTTGGTTATGGAAATGATGCTGGACACTGCATGGTAGAATTTTGCAAGACCAACAACTAATTTATACCAAATATATTTTTTCAGTAACATAAATGACAACTACACATGCATACCTCACTGGATGGAATACACAGGAAATCAAATCTACTACTACATCTATGGGAAAAGGCAATGGAGAAGCTCACTATCACATTCACAGTAAGGTGACCACAGAACAACTGCTCATATGCAAATCGAATGTGAAGATGCAGAAAATGAAAACAAGTCCAGAGAGGCAAAATATGACCTTAGGTATATCCCACCTAAATTTAGACACTATCCCAATGGTGCACTGAACAGTTAAGCATTGAACAATAATAATCAAAGACCAGAAAAGTTTTGGGAATGACATTATGCATGAAGAAAGTAAAAAATCATTAAAAAGATATGAAAGAAAAAAAAGATCAAAACATTATAAGAAGAGACTCTGAAACTTGCTCTTGAACAAACAGAAGCTAAAACATAAGGAAGAATTAATGAAGAGCTGAAGAGAGATTTCAAAGGGCAGCTGGCAAAGGTAAAATGAAGTATTATAAAGAAATGTTCAAAGACTTGGAGTTAAAAAACCAGAAAGGAAGAACCACTCAACATTTCTCAAGCTAAAAGAACTTCAAAAAATTCAAATCATGAATTACAACACTGAAGGATTTTATGGGCAAAATATTGAACAACACAGGAAGCATCAAAAGAAGACAGAAGGAATACTTATTCACTGTGCCAAAAAGAACTGGTCTATGTTCAACCATTTCAGGTGATAACACGTTACCAAAAACCAAGTTATTTAAACAGAATAAGGGGAAATGAAAGGCTTAAAATCAGAAGAGTTGTTAAAATCAAAATCCTTTCACCACTATTTAATCAATCTACAGGCTGAACAAATAACCTGAGAAGTTGAAGTATATAACATGTGAAGATGAATGCAGCATCAGGATTGAAGGACTTGTGATACACAGATCATAAAACCTTGCTTGCTGAAAGTAAAGAGGACTTAAAGCACTTACAGATGAAGATCAAAGACTGTAGCCTTTTGGATAGATTACACCTCAACACAAAGTTTTTAATAACTGGATCAATAAGCAACAGCATGATAAATGGGGAAAATATTCAAGTTGTCAAGGAATTCATTTTATGTTGACCTCTTGGTTTGGCATTATAGGAACACAGCACTGGACTGCTAACCACAAGGTTGGTGGTTCAAACCTATCAGTGGCTTCTTGGAAACCCTATAAAGAGTTGCTATGAGTCAGAACTGACTCAATGGCACTTAACAACAACAACACAACCAATGCCATGGAAGCAGCAGTCAAGAAACCAAATAAATTGCATTGGAAAAATCTGCTGTAAAAGATTTGAAAAACAAAGATGTCATTTTGAGGACTAAGATGTACCTTCACCCAAGCCACAGTATTTTCAATTGCCTCTTTGCATGGGAAAGCTGGGCAATGCATAAAAGACAGACAAGGAGTTCATGCCTTTGAATTATGGTGTTGGAGAAGAATATTAAATGTCCCATGAATTGCCAGAACAACAAATAAATCTGTACTGGAAGAAGTATAGGCTAAATGCTGCTCAGAAGCAAGAATTGATGAGACTTAATCTCATGTACCTTGGACATGTTATCAGGAAGAACCAGGTCCTGAAGAAGGACATCATGCTTGGATATGTAGTTGTAGTGACCCTATGCACAACAGAACCAAACACTGCCCGGTCTTGGGCCAACCTCACAATTGTTGCCACACTTGAGCCCATCGATGCTGCCATTTTGCCAGTCCATCTGGCTGGGGGTTTTCCTCCACCTTACTAAACACGAAATCCTTCTCCAGTGACTGGTCCCTCCTGACAATATGTCTGAAGTATGACAGACGAAGTTTGGCCATCCTGGTGTCCAAGGAGCACTCTGACTGCACTTCTTCCAACACATGGATGTGTACAGGGTCAGTGAAAAAGGTGAAGAGCCTCAACAAGATGACTTACACAGTGGTTGCAACAATGAGCCAAATGCATAAAAACTGTGAGGATGGTACAGGACTGGGCAGTGTTTTGTTCAGTTGCACATGGGGTTGGATGAGTTGGAACTAACTCTACAGTATCAAACAATAGCACTGTTACCTGTATATATAAAAATGGAGCGTCTCTACTTAGTATGGGGATTGTGATTTAAAGTTCTTTTATTGTCTTACAATGTCTAAGTCATTATTTTAATCCTTCTTTAGTGAGCTCTGGTAGCATAGTGGTTACGAATCGGGCTGCAAACTACAAGGTCAGCAGTTCGAAACTACCAGCTGTTCTGCAGGAGAAAGATGAGGCTTTCTGCTCCTGTAAAGATTTACAGCCTCGGAAACCCTGTACAGGGTTGCTATGAGTCGGAACCGACTCCACGGCACATAACAATAGTTCAAGACCACTAACACATTATTGGAGTTGAACAAGAATGCCATGTTATTTATTGTTGCAGCCCATAATGCTGAGATATTTTTACTTTTATGTGACTTCTAAACACTAAAGGACTTCATTCTGGTAAACATAAACTTTTCTGAAGTACTGAACTGACCTCAAAGCTCAAAAATGATTTCTGAATTGAGTCTAGGGAACTATCAACAATTTTTCAGAAGCTAACAAAGTATGAGAACTAGTATTACAGTGTGGTTCTTGATTTGTATGTCGTTCCTTTTTCCACTTACCATGCTTTAACCTGTGACCTAGTCACAAAAATATATCTATCTCTGCCTCCACCAAACTGCTTACATATATTTTCTTAAGAAAGACCATTCTCATATATTCAATATAATATTGTAATGTCTTTTTTAAAGATTTTATTCTTAATAGTGAACAGTGTGCAATAAATATTTTTACTTTCACTTCCAGAGGAGTCCTGAATATCAGGTTCTGGGGAGGAATAGCCTTTCACCACTTTCTTTTGTTGCCTGGTTGGCTTATGCTTCAGTTTTGGGACACTAACCTGGAAAAAAAAAAGACATGGTACATGAGTTTGTACTATATTTTGTAATTAAAGACCAATGAATGTTGTCAAAACCGCTTGTTCAGGGTACTCAAATAAGAATATATATCTTCCCTCACTTTTCTAATTGCAGTAGTTAGTACTTTCTGTAAAATGTTAAATAGTAATGTATTTTCATCATCCTCTCGTTTCCAACTTTGGGTTTCCAATAATTATTTACTTACTTTTAATAATATCTGGGTATGTATAAAACATATATATACACATTATTTTTAAGAGTATTATGTAAACTTACTGAAAAGTTTAAATACATACACAAGATTTAAAAGTATATCAAACTATGAAATCCAAATTTTGCTTAGAATAATTGACTTTAGATTCTATATTACTAATAGGTTTGCAATTCTGGTAATTAGTCCTAAATTTAAAAACCTAAATGCAAGAGAAAAGACTGAAATCAGAATAGAAAAATATGCATACACTTAGAAAACTGGGAACTAGTGGTCTTAAATCTTTAACTCTATGCTTGCCTGTTTACTGTTCCAAGCAGGAGTTATCTCCAATTACGTTACTTCTTGAGATTACTTTGAAAAATACTACTCATGTGCTTAAAAATAAAATAAAATTACATAGTAACATTTCTATAATACGCAACAAACAGGTAGGATCTGGATTCAGCCAACATTGTGTCCTTCTACTTATAAAATGACATATAAGAAGAATTTTATCTAAGATCAATTACTTGAGAGGGCTACACCAGGCATAAAGCTCTGCCTTCCCCATATTTTTTGGAAATTTTTTGGAGTTGGAATGCCTTACATCCCAAAATAATTTGGGAAAGAGAACAAAACTATTTTATAATCAGGTTTCAAATGATTCAGTATACTTGTGACTTAGAATTGTTGTTGTAGTTAGGTACCATAGACTCAGTACCAACTCATAGCAACTCTATGCACAAGAGAACGAAACACTGCTCAGTCTTGTGCCGAATGCTATGTGCCAATCCATCTGTGCTGGGAGTCTTCCTCTTTTCCTCTGTCTTTCCACTTTACCAAGCATGATGTCCTTCTCCAGGGAAAGGTCTCTCTTGATAATATGTCTGAAGTAGGAGAGACAAAATTTGGCCATCCTGGCTTCTATGGAGCATTCTGGCTGTACTTCTACTAACACAAAATTTTTTTGTTCTTTTATCAAGTCCATGGTACTTTTAATATTCTCCTCCAACACCACAACTCAAATACTTTTTAAAAAAAGAATGCTTTACTGTGAATTATATGATCGTTTACATGGGAGAACATCAGCTTCACATTCATGCTATCGTATATCGTTTCCTTGCCATGGTTACAATCCCCTCCATGCATCATCAACCAAAGGGTATACCCTGCAGGCCTAACCCCTGTCATCAGCACACAGTCCCTTTCCCTCTCTGGGTTCAAAGTCCCCAACTGCTCCATCTCTCCACATCATCATCTCTGCCTCCATCTTGGGCATCATTGCTTCTCTGGGTAGGGTTCTGCTCTCCGCTCTCCTTCCCTGATGGTCCCAGGGAACTCTGCAAAGTTAATCACGCCCCTCCTTTTGTCACAAAGCTTCTACCTTTACATTTCCAACCCTTACAATCAGTCCTGATAATAATTATTCACTATTGTTATCACAAGACACCAATCCGCATTTCTTTTCATCAGCCCTTCCTAGACAGATTGGATACTACACAGTGGAGATTCTACCTTGCTCCATGATGTGTGGATCTAGGCTCCCTCTTGAAAGCTTGTAAGCCAGTCACTTCTTGCCCCTGTAGTTCCCCCATTCTGGGTAGCTAATATACAAGCTGCGCATCCCTGTCCACTCCATGTATGGAGGGGGTGAGAATGATCCTCGCTGAGATTTGTTCCCTCTTTTGAGCTACTGCTTCCATAGGTGTAGGTCAAGTTCATCAAATTGTATTAGATTACTCTTTTTTTCCTCTTTATTCTTCTAGTTGAGCTCTGATCATTCAGTCACTGAAGCCAGGTCAAGTGGGTATTATCTGCAAGTGTGGGTGTTCTTATGCATATGCTCTCTCTTCTAATCAGCTGGATGCTTCACTCTCAACTTTAGTCTTCTGTGGCTATGTTACTGACTCTGGGCCCAAGAGTCACCAGGTCTTGCGATACTGCTGGCCGACCACCTGGGTTCACAGATGTCTATTGAGCATTGTAGGGCTTAGCTCATAGCTTCATTGCTGTTTTTCCCTCACTTCTCCTTATCAGTTACGAACGTGGTCACCAATCAGAGCGTATATTCCTATTGCATCTTGTCTTAGAAAAAGGTTTGCCCTGAGCAGAGACCCAACCACTTGCCTTGATGTCTCCTGACTGAGCCACTTGTTTGTTCTTGTGGTAATCAGTCAGTCTGCTGATATTGTTTTGTATTTTTCCTGTTGGTTTTTCTTTCAAGAAGTATCTTCTGTTCTTCCGGCAGGCTGGTCTGCTTGTTCTTTCAAGTGGAAATTTCCCACCTCTGAAGATTCTGGATGCTGTTCAGGATTCCACCTATAGTCTTATGTAATGCAGAGGTTCCACAGGAAGTCTCCTTCACTGGGCACGTTGTAGCCCCATTTTAGGTATTCCAATCAGTTATAAGCAGAAAACGGACTTACAAGCTTTCTATGGTGATAATTCTGGTTATTCCTTTCTCTCCCTCTCAAGTGTCTATTTTAGAATGGCATGCCAGGGAAACCAAGATTCAAAAGACAGCCAAGCATCTTATTTCCCACCTTTTCCCCATTCCAGCCATGTCTCAATACTTGTATCCCACAGCCCTGTTGTTCCAAGGTTGTACATACATCATTATTTACCTCTGTCCTGCTTCCCCTTCATCCTATCGTATTTCATTTCATTGAAATGATTACAATCCCCTCTATGCAACGTCAAATAACCAAAAGATACACCCCACAGGCCCACCCCCTTGGCTGTCAGCAAACAACTCCTCTCCCTCCCTGAGTCCCATGTTCCCAGCCACTCCATCTGTCCACGTCATCATCTCTGTCTCCATGCCTGACTTCACTGCATCTCTGGGTAGGGTCACGCTTTACGCTCTTCTCGCTTCATGGTCACAGGGACCTCTGTTCCTGGGCTGCAAAATCAATCACTCTTCTCCTTTTGCCAACCGCCCCCCCAAAAAAACCAGAAAAAAAACTGCCTCTACATTTCTGACCCTCATAGTCAGTCCTGATGGCAGTTATTCACTATTGTACAACAAGAGACTTATCCCTAGTTCCTTTCGCCAGCCTGGTCCCAACAGATTGGAAATCATTCAGTGGAGGTTCTGCCTACCCCTGCCCCATCTGGAACTAGGCTCCCTCTTGAAAGCTTGTAAGCCAGTCATTTCTTGCATTTATAGCTCCCTCCCATTTAGGGCCTGGGCAATTTCTAGCCCCCTTTTAGGTATTCCAGTCAGTTATAGGCTGAAGACGCACTTACATGTTTTCTAATGTGATGTTTCTGGCTATTCTTGCCCCCAACCCAAGTGTCTACTTCACAATGTTAGGCAAGGGAAACCAAAATTCAAAAGTCAGCCAAGCATCTTAACATTATTCCTCTCTTTTCCCCTTTCAAACCATGCCTCAATCCCTGTATCCTGAAGCCCTGTTATTCCAAGGTTGTGCATACATCACCATTTACCTCTGTCCCACTTAGCCCATGCGAACCTGCCTAACTGTTCTCCCATCCGCCTTGTTCTTCTTTTCCCCTCCCCCTTCTTGTGAATTGCCAGCACCTCCTCCCCACCAACCCCAGCACCCAGGCTCTCCTGTGTATATTCCCTACCCTGTGCTCTGTCTTTCCCTCCCTCCATCCCCTTCTCTCATCCCATACATTCCAGTGATCAGCAATTATATATATATATATAGTTTGGTTTTCTTTTCCCCCCTTTTGGGTGGGTTCTTTTTCTTAGTCTTTTACAATAATGGTCTTATGCAGTATTTCTCCTTTTGTGACTGGCTAATTTCACTCAGCACAATGTCCTCAAGGTTCATCCATGTTAATAGGTGGCTTGCAGCTAGCTCCCTTGTTGTTCTTCAAGGTAGCATAGTATTCCATTGTGTGTATGTACCACAGTTTGTTTATGGAACTGTCTCCGTCTTTTTGCTATTGTAAATAGTGCTGCTACAATACTATTTATAACATTGTTGTACACATATCTAATCGTGCTATAGCTCATATTTCTTGTGGGTAAATACCAAGTAGAGGAATTGCTGGATCGTAAGGTATTTCTATTTCCAACCTTCTGAGAAAGCGCCATATTGCTTTCCAGAGTAGTTGGACCATTTTGCAGTCACACCAACATTGTAGGAGGGTCCCAGTCTTTCCACATCCTCACCAGCATTTACTGCCCTCTGCTTTTTTGTTTTTATCTTTGCTGTTATTGTTGGTGTGAGATGATATCTCATTGTTTTGATTTGCATCTCTCTGATGGCTAGTGATCGTGAGCATTTCTTCATATGTTTGTTGGCTTCCCAGATCTCCTCCTTGGTGAAGTGTCTGTTCATGTCCTGTGCCCATTTTTTAATTGGGTCATTTATCTTTTTCTTGCATAGATATTGTAGTTTCTTATATATTTTAGAAATGAGTCCCTCATCTGATGTGTCATTGCAAAAGATTTTTTCCCATTCTGTGGGTTCCCTTTTTACTCTTTTGCTGAAGTCTTTTGATGCACATAAGTTTTTAATTTTTAGTATGTCCCACTCATCTATTTTGTCTACTTGTGTTTGTGTAGTTTTCAAAATGTTTGGTAGCCTGTGTATTCCCTGAATTAGTGTCCTCACATTTGTCCCTATTTTTTCATCGATGACCTTTATAATTTTGGGATTCAGTTAGATCTTTGATCCATGCTGAATTCGTTTTTGTATAGGGTGTGAGGAAATACATCAATTTTTACATGGTCTTTCTTATTCACTGTCCAACTTTCAAATGCATATGAGGTTACTGAAAATACCATAGCTTGGGTCAGGTGCACCTTACTCCTCATACTGACATCTTTGCTCTTGAACACTTTAAAAAGGTATTTGTGCAGCAGATTTTCCCAATGCAATATGTTGTTTGATTTCTTGACTGTTGCTTCCATTAGTGTAGATAGTTGAACTGAGCAAAATGAAGTCTCTGACAACTTCATGTTGTTTACTGGTCCAGTGGTGATGATTTTCGTGTTCTTTACGTTGAGGTGCAACCCATACTGAAGGCTGTGGTCTTTGATTTTCATCAATAAATATTTTAAGTCCTCTATGCTTTCAGCAAGCAAGGTTGTATCATCTGCATATCACAGGTTGTTAATGAATCTTCCTCCAATCTTGATTACACTTTCTTCTTCATATAATCCAGCTTCTCAGATTATGCTCAGCATACAGATTGAATAAATATGGTGAAAGAATACAACCCTAGTGCACACTTTTCCTAATATTAAACCATTTAGTGTTCCCTTGTTCTCTTTGAACAACTGCTTCTTGGTTTATGTACAGGTTCCTCATGAACACAATTAAGTGTTCTGGAAAACTCATTCTCCACTATGTTGTCCAGAGTCTGTATGATCCACACAATCAAAAGCCTTTGTGTAGTCAGTAAAGCACAAGTAAATATCTTTCTGGTATTCTCTGCTTTCAGGCAAGATGCATCTGATGTCAGTAATGATATCTCCCTTATTCCATTTCCTTGATTGAATCTGGCTTGAATCTCTGGCAGTTCTCTGTCAAAGTACTGTTGCAGCCATGTTTGAATTACGTTTTGCAAAATTTTACTTGTATGTGATATTAATGATATTGTCCAATGATTTTTGCATTCTGTTGGGTCACCTCTTTTTGGAATGGGCACAAATATGGACGTCTTCCAGTCAATTGACTAGGTAGCTGTCTTCCAAATTTCTTGGCATAGACGAGTGATTACCTCCAATACTGCATCTTCTGTTTGTTTGTTTGTTTATTTATTTATTTATTTATTAGCAATTTTATTTTATTTGCCCAATCCTGATCTTGAGCAAATTACTTAACAAGTCTAGCCTTTGGTTACTACACCTACAAAATGTATTTAATAGTACTGATCCTCATATGGCTAGTAAAAGATTAAAAGATATAAGTAAAAGAATTAACAGATATAAAGCACTTAGACCATTGCTCTATATTTATTTAATCACTGTATGTTAGAATTATCATTGCTACCACTATTACTACATTTCTTACTACAAATGGGTAATAGGACTAATGAGAATTTCTTACCCATCTGTTTAGGATCTTGGACAGAATCTTAGCTCATAATCTACTACTAAGAAGTCCTTGGAATATAGTAATTAAAGATAATTTATTGAGTAAATGACCAAACTAAGTGCATGAACTAATCTAGTAAGGACAATTATTAAAAAGAATTTTCATTTCTAAGCTGACAAAATGAATTTAAACGTTCTAGTATTCTGATATTTTTATAAACCTAATTCTTTGGTGGGGGGAAGAAATGTGACATCTGAAGAGCTAGAAAAAATTAAAAAGAAATAGTACCATAAATATTCAAGTCCTAGAGATATAAAATTTATAACATTTAAAATTCAAGTCTCCCATCTTAGGTGAGATATATTCTTGTTCTACAGAGTGAGTTCCAATTAGAGATTAAAGGAAACTGGTGACAAAGTTGTTTAAAATGACAAAAGTAGTCTAGCAATATACTTAGAGATATACCAAGATGTCTATTCTGTTAGAACTATTAAAGGAAGAAACAAATTTTAATTGTTTGTAGCCAAAGAGTCCGAGGATTAACAAATACATACACTTAATGAATACAGTTATTATTTATTTATTATTTTTATGACATACCATGGGAGTGCGATGTTTCACTTTGGTCTGGACAACACCATCTTTTTCAAACTGTATCATATCATTAAGTGGGTCCCATGGCCGGGTACTACATCAATGAAACACAATACCATTAGTTTAATGATTAACATCGTCGTCATCAAGTGCTGTTGAGTCAGTTATAACTCACAGCAAACTAAAAAACTTTCTATTTTATGTTGGATTTGCATTAATAATTATAAATATTGAACTTTAAGGTTAAGGTTTATCCATATTTAATCTGTTGATCCTTGCCTTATTTTATAGGCTAATTACAATCATGAGTCAAATTTATCATGATTGAAATTTAAAATTTCACAACTGAATAAAAATAAAAGTCTTAAAATGATAATTGTTAAATTGTAAGTAGCAGGCAATGTCAATATATTGTTTGCAATGAAATATTTTAAATTACTTACTCGGCAAACTTGTAATGCCATTCTCCTGTGAGTGGATCGAGTTCAAATAACTTACAGGCCCAATCTTCATTTTTTGTTTTCCGATCTCTGACTGCTTGTCTTTGAGCTTCTTCTAAAACATACTTCTCTTGAGTAGCTTCAGTTTGGTCTTTAGCATTTATGGCTCTAGTTACTCGCTGCCAGAGTCTAAGACATATACAAAAATAAAAGTTATGTTTATTACGTATTTGCCACAATTAAAATGTTGCTTTTCTTCTTCTTTTTTTTAAAGCAACAAATTATCTATAAAATAGGTTTCAATCCCTAGGTAGAAAATAATGTTCACATGTTTTTGACTTAGACAAAGGTTATACTCAGGAAGGAGTCAAGATTAAAACAAAAACCAAAAACTTATACAGAGAGGTTGTTATTGTTTTTAAATGCCATTGAGTCAGTTCTGACTCCTAGTGTCCCTGTACATCCTTGCGGGAGTAGAAAGCATCATCTGTCTTCCAAGGGCCTGACTGGTGGGCTCAAACTGCCAACCTTGTGGTTTGCAGTTCATTGTTTATCGTGCAAAGTCACTTCCATTCTTTAAGTGGGGACTGATTATTTGTCTTGGGAAGAAAAATGTATTACATTTTTTAGCATATGGCAGCAAATGTTTATAAACCAAAATGATAGAAATTCAGTGACGACAGGGCTCAAGAATCTACAGTTTAAATAAGCCTTCCTCTACATCCAATTCTTATGTATACCAAAGTTTAAGATCCATAAAGATTAATTAGTGTAATGTAGTGCTTCTCAGCCCTAGATGAATTTTAAAATCACAATTCATGTTGTTATTTAAACTTAAAAAACAAACAAACTGTTTCCCAGATGGTTCTAATACACAGCTAGTGTTGAGAATCACTGACCTCACAGAAAAGGACACTGAAGTAAAACGACTTCCCTTACTGAAGCTTGATTATTTTCTATACAGGGCTGCTATGAGTTGGAACCAACTCAATGGCACTTAATAACAGCAACAACAAATATAAATATATACAACCTATATCCACCTGTTTAGGAAGACAGCATGTTGAGATTGAATGTGCTAAAGCTTTGGCGTCCAATAGTCTTGGGTTGAATTTTGGGTGTGCCATTTTGCAGCTATTACAATTAAGCGCTGTTGAGTTGTTTTTTACTTATAGAGACACTGTACAGGGTTTCTGAGGAAGAGTTGGTGGATTTGAACCTCGCAGTTAGCAGCCCAGTGCTAATCCTACAGCCAGAAACCAAAAGTCCATTTTGCAGCTGTTGTTCTTAAGTGCTGTCAAGTCAGTTTTGACCCATAGCAACCCTGTATGGGGTTACTGAGGAGTGATTGGATATCTTGAACCACCAACCTTGCAGTTTAAACTGACTTTGTGGTCTAGAGCATTAACCCACTATGTCATACCAGTCTCCCATTTTGCAACTAGTGACCTTAAATTAAACTTGTTTGAGCCTTGTTTTCTTCATCCTTAAACTATGAAAATGATACCCACGACACAAAAACAGTTCATATACCAGGTAAAGCTTAGCTCCAAATGGAGAGCACCAAGAGGCTAGAGCTGAAACAGAATGTTGAGAACAGTCGCATACATATTCTTCCACCTGTGATAACTTCAATTCTGAGTGGAGATTGGAAAGTACACAACGACTGAATTCCCATAGGTGAGAATGGCAATCAAGTGGGAGGACACATTGTTGCTGTTAGGTACCATTGGTCAATACTGACTCATAGCGACCCTATGTACAAGAGAACAAAACACTGCTCGATCCTGGGCCAACCTCACTATTGTTGTTACGCTTGAGTCCATCAATGCTGCCACTTGGCCAATCCATCTCGTTGGGGGTCTTCCTCTTTTGCTCTGACCCTCCACCTTACCAAACACGATATCCTTTCTCCAGTGACTGTTCTCTTCTGACAATATGTCCAAAGTATAGCCATCCTGGCCTCCAAGAAGCACTCTGGCTGTACTTCTTCCAACACAGATCTGTTGGTTCTTTTGGCAGCCCACGACACTGTCAATACTCTCCTTCAACACCGTAACCCAAAAGCATCAATTCTTCTACTGTCATCCTTATTCACTGTTCAGCTTTCGCATGCATATGAGCTTATTGAAAATACCATGGCTTGGGTCAGGCGCACCTAGTCCTCAAGCTGACACCTTTGCTTTTTTCAACACTTTAAATAGGTCTTGTGAAGCAGATTTGCCTAATGCAATGCATCGTTTGATTTCTTGACTGCTGCTTCCATGAGTGTTGACAGTTGACCCAAGAAGAATGAAGTCCTTGACAACTTCAATCTTTTCTCCATTGATAAGAATGCTGTTTATTGGTCCATTCGTGAGGATTTTTCTTGTCTTTACATTGAGATGCAATAAATACCAAGGCAGTGTTCTTTGATCTTTATCAGTAAATATTTTTTAAGTCTTCTTCACTTTCAGCAAGCGAGGTTGTATCATCTGCATATCACAGATTGTTAATGAGTTTTCCTCCAATCCTGATGCCACGTTTTTCTTCATATAACCCAGCTTTTTGGAGTATTTGCTCAGCATACAGGTTGAATAAATATGGTGAAAGAATACAATCCTGCCACAGACCTTTTTTAATTTCAAACTATTCAGTGTTCCCATGTTCTGTTTGAACAACTGCCTCTTGTTCAATGTACCGATTCCTCGGGAGCACAAGTAAGTGTTCAGGAATACTAATACTTCGCAATGTGGTCCACAGATTGTCATGATCCACAAATGAAAACCTTTGCAAGGTCCATAAAACACTGGTAAACATCTTTCTGTTATTCTCTGCTTTCAGCCAAGATCCATTGGACATCAGCAATGACATCCCTCATTCCACATCCTCTTCTGAATCCAATTTGACCCTCTGGAAGTTCTATGTCAATGTATGCTTGCACCATTTCTGTATTACCTTGAGTAAAACTTTACTCACATGGGATATCAAAGAGATTGTCCGATGATTTCCGCATTCCGTTGGGTCCGCTTCTTTGGAATGGGCACAAATGTGGATCTCTTCCAATCAGTCAGCCATATAGCTGTCTTCCAAATTTCCTGGTAGAGATGAGTGAGTGCCTCCAGTGCCGCCTCACTTTCTTGAAAGATTTCAATTTTGATTCCCTCAATTTTGGGAGCCTTGTTCTTTGCCAATTCCTTCAATGCACCTTGGACTTCTTCCTTCAGTATCATTGGCTCTTGATCATATGCTACCTCTTGAAATGGTTGAACATGAACCATGTCCTTTTGGTACAGTGACTCTTTGACAAGCAAAGATGTCAGCTTGAGGACTAAGGTGCACCTGACCCAAGCCATGGTATTTTCAATAACCTCATATGAATATGAAAGCTGGACAGTGAATAAGGAAGACCGTAGAAGAATTGATGCCTTTGAGTTATGGTGTTGGAGGAGAATACTGAAAGTGCCAGGGGCTGCCAAAAGAACCAATGGATCTGTTTTGGAAGAAGTGCAGCCAGAGTGCTCCCTAGAGGCCTAGATGGACAAACTTCGTCTCTCATACTTAGAACATATTTTCAGGAGGGAACAGTCGCTGGAGAAGGATATCACGTTTGGTAAGATGGAGGGTCAGAAAAAAAAAAGGGGAAGACCCTCAACGAGATGGATAGGCCAAGTGGCAGCATCGATGGACTCAAGTGTGACAATAGTAGTGAGGTTGGCCCAGGATCGGACATTGTTTCGTTCTGCTGTGCACAAGGTCTCTATGAGTTGGTGCCGACTCGATGGCACCTAACAACAACAACAACAGTGACTCTGTGTATTCCTTCCATCTTCTCTTGATGCTTTCTGCATCATTCAATAATTTGTCCAGAGAATACTTCAATAATGAAACTCGAAGCTTTAATTTTTTCTTCAGTTCTCTCAGCTTGAAAAGTTCTAAGCGTATTCTTCCTTTTTGGTTTTCTGAGTCTAGATCTTTGCAAATTTCATTTTAATATTTGACTCTGTCATTTCAAGCTGACCTTTGAAATTTTCTGTTCAGCTGTTGTACCTCCTCATTTCTTCCATTTGCTTTAGCATCTCTACACTGGAGAGTAAGTTTCAGTGTCTCTTCTGATACCCATTTTGATCTTTTCCTTCTTTCTTGTTTTCTTAATAAATTTTTTGCTTTCTTCCTGTATTATATTCTTGATGTCATCCCACAACTCTTCTGGTCTTTGGTCTTTAGTGCTTAATGTTTCAAATCTGTTCTTCAGATGAATTCTAAATTCAGCTGGGATATATGCAAGGTAACATTTTGGCTCTCGTGGACTTGTTCTCATTTTCTTCAGCTTTAGTTTGAATTTACATATGAATAATTGATGGTCTGTTCTACAATCTGACCCTGGTCTTGTTTTGACTGATAATATAGAGCTTTTCCTTCGTCTCTTTCCACAGATGTAGTCAGTTTGATTTCTATGTATTCCATCTGGTGAAGTCTATGTGTATAATCGTCTCTTATGCTGCCTAAAGAAGGTATTTGAAATGAATACATCACTGATTTTGCAAAATTCTATCATGCGTTCTCCAGCATCATTTCTATCACCAAGGCCATATTTTCCAACTACTGATCCTTTCTTCTTTCATTCCAATCACCACTAATGATCTTGGTTGCATGTTTGATCAAATTCAGATTGAAGAAGTTGGTAGAATTCTATTTCATCCTCACTGGCTTTAGTGGTTGGTGCGTAAATTTGAGTAATTGTGGTATTAACTGGTCTTCCCTGTAGGCGCATGGATATTATCCTATCATAGACAGTGTTGTACCTCATGATTGATCTGGATATGTTCTTTTTGATAATGAAAGCAACACCATTCCTCTTCAGTTTTTCACTCCCGGCATAGTAAATCATGTGATTGTTAGATTCAAAATGGCCAATACCAGTCCATTTCAGCTCACTAATGCCTAAGATATCACTATTTATGCGTTCCATTTCATTTTTGGCACTTTCCAATTTTCCTAGATTCATACTTCATACATTCCATGTTCCGATTATTAACAGATATTTACAGCTTTTTCTCTTCATTTTGAGTTGTGCCCCATCAGCAAATGAAGGTCCCGCGGTCTTTACTCCATTCGCATCCTTATGGTAAACTCTACTTAGAGGAGACAGCTCTTCCCCAGTCGCATTTTGAGTGCCTTCCAACCTGAGGGGCTCATTTTCTGGCACTATATCTGACAGTGTTTCTCTGCTATTCATAAGGTTTTCAGTGACTAAATATTTGGAAGTAGTTCTTCACTCCTTCTTCCTAGTCTGTCTTCGTCTAGAAGCTCATCTGAAACCTGTCTACCATGGGTGACCCTGCTGGTATTTAAAATACCTGTGGCATAGCTTTCAGACTCACAGTAATACAGAAGCCACCACAGTACGACAAACTGACAGATGAGTGGTGGTGGTAGGACACAGTGAGGCTTAATTTGCATAATATATATAAAATTTACATCCCAGTGTCTTTTACATATAAATATCCTTTTACTAACACAAAGAACTATGATACTGTTGTTACTAAGTTCGATCTAGTTGGTTCCATCTCATAGCTTGGAAACCTGTACAGGGTTTTCAAGTACTGGCTGGTAAGCCTGAACCACTGACTTTGCATTCAAATCTATCTTGCAGCCCAGCACATTAATCCACACACAAAAAAGAGTTATGTGGTTGTTGTTAAGTGCTGTCGAGTCAATTCCAACCCATAGTAACCCTGTATAGGGTTTCTGAAGAGCGGCTGGCGAGCTCGAACTGCTACCCGTGTGGATCAACCGACATTGCAGTCTAGTGCATTAACCCACAGCGCCATAACATGACTATAGTAAGAATAAAACTGGGTAATGTGTATACTATATTTTTATTTCAAAAGTATAAGTATTTCATCTAGCAAGAATTTCATGACTTTAAGAAAACTATGGCCTTAATTATTCCTTGTTGTTGTTGTTGTTATGTGCCATGGAGTCGGTTCCGACTCAAGTCCTTTGGAAGTGAGTCTTATCCAGTGGCACAATTCTTGTGAACGGATGGGGATAAGATTCTCATGATTCAATAGTGAGTAATTGTTACTATGACTAATTACAACTGTCACAATTGTAAAGGTAAAAGTTTTGTAATAAAAGCGGGAGAGTAGTTAATTTTACAGTTCAGAAAAAAAGGACCCTAGGACCATCCAGGGAGAAGAGCACAAGTGGAATGCGGGACCTTATCCAGAGAAGCAGAGACACCAGAGATGGAGGCAGAGATGGGGACATGGAGAGAGGGAGCAGTTGAGGACATGTGATTCATGGAAAGAGAGTAGCTGAGAGCTGGTGGCCAGGAGGCAGACTTGCAGAATGTGTCCTTTGGTAGTTTAAGTTATTATATATGCCTGAGTGATTTTCAAAAAAGAGCTAAAATGAATAAAGAGAAATACTGCTAACTGATGGCACATGGAGGGGATTATAACCATTGTAATGAAACAAAGTATATGATTTGCTGAACGCAAAACTGATGATCTGCCCTTTCACTCAATTAAAACTTTCACTCAATTCACAATAAAAACTTAAATAATAATAAAAAAAGAATCAATTGGTAGTCCTATAGTTTTGTGCAAACAAAAACTTTTTTGTTGTTGTTAGAAACAGTTCCTGAAACAGATGAGAAGAGAAAGGCAATATGGGGAAATTACAGAAGCACAGGGCAGTTTGTATTGTATTTGATATTCATGCATGCCAAAATGCAATCCTGTCACATCCAACAAACAAAGCAGTATTTTACTGGATTCAAATATAACTAAAGACAGAGAAAAGTAACCACAATACAAAGGAATTAAAAAATACTCTTTGATCTTCAGGCAGTTACCCGACAAAATGGTTTACTTACTTCTCTGATTCAAAATCTCCCTGCTCTTCAAATTTTACAGTGTGTCTCACTAATCTCCATTGTTTAATGTCAGGTGTTGGATTCCAGAAAACCTCTGAATTATCAGTCTTTTTGTCATTAATAAAAACTTCACTATCCTATAAGTAAGGAAAATTTGTAATTAATATAAATAATTAACTTTATTTAGAATGGTATTATAGAATAATAAAAAATACTTTCTTCAAGCTACTTAATAATCTAGAATTAAGCATTTCTTTAAAACAAATGAAACTCATACTTTTCCTAAAGCCTTAATTTAAAAAATCATTTTATAAAAATATTTATCAAGATTAATTATTTTAATACAATTCAACTTTTAAAAATTTGTCTGGGAATACAACTAAAGTTCATTAAGGTTTCACAAGTTTTACTTAAACAAATTTCAAATCATCACATGTCTAACAGCTATCTTTTAACAATACAAATGGAAAGATGTATGTGCTGCAGATAGACTGAGATGCTGTTTGCTGTCTATGTAGTTAATATATAGACAGAACAACTTGGAAGAGACTTTTTTAGCATTAAAATTTTGAACACAATCTTAGAAATTTCATTTTAAAAAGATGGATATATATATATATAAATGCAATTTAGATATAAGACAGTTTACAAAACATTTAGAGATTATATGTAATCTCTTAACTGAGTCCCTAGATGAAGTTTCATTTTGTCATCACATTTCTCATTTCTGCATTATTATCATATAGTAATAATAGCATATACGCAGTGAGGGTGAATCTAGATAGAACCATAATACTTATTATATATTTAAGCTTCTTTTAACAAAATTATATATTAAATTTAGGTCAACAGAGAAGTCAGTCGAAGCCATTGTTTTCATATACCACTATTCTTTTTCCATGTTTCTTAAGAGAAAATATAATTCTACATGGAATTATGTCTCTTTCTACTAAATACAAAGCAGTATAGTGTGTCTTGGATAACAATACAAGCCATAATGCCAGAGTGCTTGGGTTGGAATTCTGGCTCTACCATTTAATTTGAGCAAATTTTTAAAAGTTTCTGTGCCTCAGTTTTTCTCCTCTGTAAAATGGGGGCAATAATAGTACCCACTTTATGGTTTTACTAAATGAGTTAATATGAGTACTTTTTAGCATTACAGTAGATGATATGAAATGATATGTTTAGTGTGAGCTATTTTAATTCTTTTAAAGTTTTGACAAGAGTAACTATTATATAAAACTTGTTGCTAAGTGCCACCAAGTCGGTTCCAGCTGATAGTGACCTGTATAGGGTTTCTGAGAAGCGGCTGGTGGGTTTGAACTGTTGACCCTGTGGTTCACAGTCCAGTGATATCCTAAAGTACCACACCAGAAGTCCTGATATAACACTAACTAGATATTTTAAAAAATCAAGACCAACACATGTTGTTAAGCAGAAGATTATGCTGAATAGTGGTGCTTTTAGCAATGGAATAGAGATGTTTTTAATTTTAAAATGTTACTTTAATTTTTTTCCCACAGAATAAAATTGGTTTTGAAAAGCTAGTATACAGAAATACTTACCCAATGACCATCCAAAGTAGCTAGGACTTCTTTTCCCAATTTAAGTTTCCCTAATATTTGATTAACGCAATCACTGCTACCTAGAAATGGCTTTTAAGAAAGAAAATGTTGAAGAAATAATTTAATTTTTGTTTACATACTCTGTAGACAAACAAAAAGAAGTGATTTTATAATTACAGTGCTCTTGCATTATACTTAGTACACAAATGGTGAAATACTGATTCTAATTTTGTCAGAAATGTTAAATAAGAAGACATTTGGCTTTGCTGCTATGGGAAAAGAGATAAAAACAGACGATGTGAGGTCCAATACATAATCGTACTGAGAAAATCACAATGATATAACTGACTCATGTCCTATGCATTCTTAAGTCCTGAGAACTCTCTTGTCTGTCAAGATTGTGCCCTATCAATGTGGCAGTCTATTCAGCAATAATAGCTCAGAAAACGTAAGGGATTAACTGATCTATTGAAAGAAAGAGTAATCTTCCTTCAAATAAAAAAAGTAAACTGATGCACACCTGGAAATACAACACAAAAGACCCTCCCAAAAATAAAATCAAAAGGAATATACTTTCAGCCATGATATTATCTTACTGATGTCTCTCCTTAGAAACAAAAATTTTGATGCTTCAATGTAACCTTTAAAAGGTGTTGTAAATCACTAACACCTCTTTAGTCATGATTCTTAAGCATCTTTATAACCATACAAGCAATGTTTTGCAAAGACTAACAAAATACCAACAAAGCGCACTGCACCAAATACTTGAAAGATCCTTTCTGTTGTAGCAAAGTTACTGATTAGCTGGAAATCAACACAGAAATAAGTCAGTAATAAGTACAAAAGAGGTCATAGACATATTTATCTGAACATAATATACTGTTGTATGCCAACAATTAACACTGTGAAGTGGTCTCAAATTTCCCTTTTTTATTCTGAGGCAGACGGTGTTTTCCAAATAGTTTCAAGAATATCTCCACTTCCCACTAAAAGCTTCCACATGCTATTTACTCCTCAATGAAACCTTGCAACTCTCTACCACTGAGAAGTGGGATCTAAATCCCTTCCCATTGAATCTAGGAGGGCTATGACTCTTCAACTAACAGAGAATGGTGGAAGTGATATAAGGTGACTTCTAAGGATAGGCCATAAAAGTTGTGTGATACAGCGTCTGCCTTACTCCCTAGAATACTTGCGCTTCGAGCCCTGAGCTGCCGTGTAAAGTTTGGCTATCTTGAGGTAGCTAAGCCATGAAGCAAGTCAAGCTGCATGTATGTAAAGGCTATGTATGCAGATGTTCAGGTTAGCAGTTCTAGTCTTTGAGGTATCCCAGTCCAGACAACAGACATGAGTCTCAAAAACATCAAATCTGCTTCCATAGAGTTGACGCTGACTCGTTGAGACCCTACAGAACAAAGTAGAAGCTTAGGGTTTCTGAAACTGAAAATCTTTAAGGGAGCTGATAACCTCATTTTTCTCCCTCAGAGCAGCTGGTGGGTTTGAACTGTTGACCTTGTGGTTAGCAAGCAGCCCAATGTTTAAGTCCTCTGTCGGGCTCCTTCTTACTATAACCAGCTCAGAAAAGTGGAGTCTCTTCTAGCCTGAAAGTCTTGATGAGGTGCTGGGAGCGGCCGATGAGGGTAGAGGACAGCTTCGATTTACTGCTTGACACAGTCCAGTAAATAGTAGAGTAGTCTGGCAAAACAGATAGCTCTCAGAACTTGCTTTCTACCTTCTCTATAGAGTAATCTTAATTTTACTTATAAATATATATATAATTTGGCAATATTCGCAGCCTTTCACTAAGAGTTCTACAAACCTTAGGAAAAACTAGCTTAGCAGCAATTGCTTTTAGCCTTGGTGGACTGAATACAAAGAGAAATTGTGTAAATTACTCCCTTTCATTAGAAAACCTAAGTAACTGCATTTGTGAGGCCACAAAAGCAGATAGCATTTAGAGTCAAGCTGACCTACCCCCATAATTCTCACCACAATTAGTCACTAGCTAGAATTCACAAACCCCTAGACACCTGCATAAATAAGTAGACAATAATGAACTTAAGTGAAAGATAGTTTTGACTTAATAATCTACACTTCTTGCAGCAAGTAGCCAGGTTGGGCTTTATGCCACATAGCTTCCAAGTGATTTAATGAATACCTTTATTATAAAATAATAGCACATTATGTAGGATAGAAGTTTATAGTCTTTTAGTAGAAACAAGAAGAAACAGTTCTATCTCATACTGGGAAAGAACATGAAGGTCAGTCTGAACATCACAGAGTATTCTTGTTAAGGCTGTCTAAGGACCAGGTGCAAGAATGTTGTGACTAACTGTGTAATAATTCAAGAAAAGATAAAAGTGTCAATGCATGTACTGTATAGTTTTAAGTATAAAAAATAAAGACTGGCTGAGCTGAGCTGGCAGAGCAGGCAGAAGCAGCAGGAGGAGGTAGAAGCAGAAGAAGCAGAGAGCAGGAGGGAGAAGGCAGAGGGCAGACAGCAGAGAGAACAGACAGTACAGAGCAGAAATCAGAAGCAGAGGTAGCATAAGCTGGAGAGCATAGCCAGACAGCACAGCAAGTTGAAAAGCCTTTGGATTGTATTCATTCATTTCTTCACCCGACGTTTCCATGTATTCGTTCGTGTCCCACGACCCCCGCGGAGGGCAGGAACCCCCCTGCAATGAGGTCTCAGGTATTACACAGCAGAGACAAGCAATATGACCGGTATTAATAAATTCCCAATCCAGAGAATCAAAGAGGATCATACATGGTTGCTTTTAACCCTGTAAAGTTTAGAGTGTGTTATACAGACATGTTGTTGTTGTACTTAGGTGCTGCTGAATAGATATCTCACTCACAGTGATGCTGTATAGTGTTTCTGAGAAGTGGCTGGTGGATTTGAACTGCCAGTCTTGGAGTTGGTTAGCAGTCCAGTGCTTATCCTATAGTGCCACAACAGAACTCCTTACTTAACTTAGAAATTTCTATCTAAACACTTCTTAAATTTATCATATTTAATACTAACAGTTTAATTACTGGTGGTACAGTAGGCTAAGCATTGGGCTGCTAACATAAAGGTCTGAGGTTTAAATCCACCAGATACTATGCAAGAGAAAGCTGTGGCAGTCTGCGGCTATAAAGATTTGTAGCCTTGGAAACCCCATGGAGCAGTTCTATTCTGTCCTATGGGGTCACTTGTTGTTGTTGTTATGTGCCGTGGAGTCAGTTCCGACTCATAGCGACCCCGCACAGGGTTTCTGAGGCTATTAATCTTTACGGGAGCAGAACGCCTCATCTTTCTCCTGCGGAGCAGCTGGTAGTTTCGAACTGCTGACCTTGCAGTTTGCAGCCCGATTCATAACCACTACGCTACCAGAGCTCCTTATGGGGTCACAAGGAGTTGAAACTGACTCAACGGGAGGTGTGGTTTTACCCTTATACCTCTGACCTCATATGAATTGTGTTACTATTTAGTACTTAATTAGAAATTAAATTATATTATTTATCCAACATTTATAGCATAGTTCCCTTTTGATTAGATGACACCAATTTAGGGAGTTCAGATGTTATCTAAACTAAACTAACCTTTAGTTTAAATTCAAGTATTGCACTGTATCCAGTTTTTTGACATGTAATATTGACTGTTCCTCCGAGCTCCAGTGTCATTGTACCATACAAAATTCCTAAAGGACGAAAACAAAATGACAAAGGTTGAAGAGGGACACTAGGCAATAACAGAGTTTTCTCATCTAATTCCCTTCCAAGAAACATTTATAACTCAGGGGCATTCTGTCTCAGACAAGAAAATCTGGTTATATAGACATAAAATTGGTTCTACAGAATGAAGTGGATATAAGTCAAACTAACAGTTCCTAAAATAGATTTTATAGTTAAATGTTGGAAAAATTCTATGTTTAAATTTGTATGTATGTGTGTGTGCATGCATACACATTGTTGGATCATATTGTTGTTTCTGTTGAAGTGTCATCCAGATGGTTCTGACTCACAGCAACCCTGTATAGGGTTTCCAAGTAGCAGCTGGTGGGCTTGAACTGCAAAACTTGTAGTTCGCAGTCCAGTGCTGATCCTACAATGCCACACAAGGAGTCCAATATGCACCTATACAATGTTAATTTCCAAGATAGGGACAAAGCATGTTTTCCATACTTATTTAGTTATAAAACTCTTTATTTGTAAAACATTTTTTGGGACTAGTGACCACAGGAACACACTTTGAAAAAACGCAGATATAGCCTAAAAACAATAATTATTTCTAATTCCCCATCACAAAGGGTTATAATCTCGCTTTCTTTTTCATTCAATAAAAATGCTACTATGAAAACATGCTTCCCTTTTGCTACTTGGATATGGCATGGGTATCTACATTGTAAATCAATTTATTCTAAAAGATAAAGAATTTTAAACTATGTATTCTTATTAATTCGAATCACAATTTCAGATACCTTACTTCATGTCTATTTGAAGAACCACACATGAAGCTGCAAGAATTATGTAGCCTGAGACTACAAGCTGGCCACTCATATACCTAGTAAAAGGCAGACAGATAGTAAAGCAAATGGGATTCAGAAGATCTAGAGTTTAGTCTTCTTTTTTATTAACTAGGTGAGTTGGTTTTGGGTAGCATTCTTAACCCTCCCATCTTTTTCATCTGTGAAATGGGCCATACTATCTAATTTCTGTTTATATGAATCACTTCCTAAAATAAATTAGAGCATTATAACTGAAAAGTTATTTTCAAGAAACTAGTTGGAAAGGAACTGATAATGACTACACTGTTTACGTGGATGCAATATAGTATAATTACCAAAGATTGTAAGGCTAGACTGGCTGGGTTTAGATCTTGACATTCTAATTGTGTGATGTGGATATATTAGCTAACCTTTCTATGCCTCATTTTTCTCATCTGCAAAATAGGGACAATAATATTACCTATTTTATAGGATACAGCAGTTCAAAACTACTAGCTGTTCCACGGTAGAAAGATGAGGCTTTCTGCTCCTATAAAGATTTACAGCATCTGAAACCCTGTGCAGGGTCGCTATGAGTCGGAACCGACTCTACAGTATTTCAGAACAACAACAACATAGGATAGGGATGCTGAAATTATTAAAAGAATTTACAGATATAAAGTATATGGAATTAGTTGGGTATCTGCCCTGTAGTGACTGAGAGCTAAAATTTAATATTCTTATCAGTAGTCTAATGGGTGAAAGAAAAATTCCATTATTAACTTTTAAGAAATTATCAACTGATAAAGAAGATTGAAAAGTTTTTAGAAAATTGAAAAGAAGTAAATATTTAAAATGGGATGGTACAAAAAGATGAAAATCACTTTTAAGGATTCTAAAATAATGGACAATTTCAGAAAACTTCAAAATTTGCACATTTAGCAAATGAAAAGAAATTCTAACACAGTAAATTAGATATTCTAAAAATTTTATCTATTATGGGTAAGTTAATTCAACAAAGAAACATTCATCAGATGGTAACAATAATCTAAAGTGTTTATCAATTTAGGATATTTTCAAACAAAATACAAGGTTAAATCCACCCATCTTGTAACGTAACAGTTTATGACTACACAAAGTACACTTTTTAAAAGTTTAAGAAACATCTAACTCAAATATAGAAAATATTTACCTTTACAGTGAGCATAAGGCATTGTCATTACATAATCTTCACCTCTATTCAAGAAAGTCAAGCGTGCTTCTCCCTCTAATATTGCAGATAATGAGTTTCCTGAAATGAATATTACTAAGGTTCACAAATAAAATTCAAAGAGTCAAAACAAACTAATATAAATTTAGGACATCTACTAGACTGTTCAGTAGAAAGTTTGAAAAAGTCTCAGTATCAATGTGCTCAAACATGTATGCATTATCATATATCTTTATCAATAAGTGAGGAGTAGATGCAGTTCAATAAAGGGAAAATGGATGAAACTAAAGCCCATTTCATCCATTTTCCTATTCTTATAAAACAATTACTATACCTTTAAAAAGTTAGTTATGAGCTTATTTTATGAGGCACTTAAGAAAAATCTTAAACTGGTAGAACATCCAATAAAACACTATTTATATAGCTTAATTTGCCCATTTTGAATACAAGTATGCTTTATCTGTAGCTTATTTATTTAAGTACTCCTCTTTACTTATCAAAATGAGACAATAAAAAAATGCATGTACTTCCCCAAATTGCAATCGATGATAAAATTTTAGGGTATTTCTTTCAAGTCTTTTTTCTATATGTATCTCTCTCTCTCCATTTATTGAACCACACCTACTTCTCACTTATTGATATGGTTAGATTCCAAACATCAGGTCATTATTTGAAAATTGTCAATTATGCAAGAGTGGGGCCATGCCTTGGTACATCTTGCAATGTGCGAGTTGGGGTAATTTCCCCTCCCTACCATGTCTTCTCTACCATCAAGGAATCCACGGGGACTGGGAGTGGTTGTGGTTGTCAGGGGTAAGCCTCTGCCTGTGGAGAAGCAGGGGCCCACAATCACCTGGCCATGTTCCAGACCTTCTTACAGATGCCTTGCCTCTCCACCTGCTTGCTCTTACAGCCCTGGAGATGAGCGTGAGCAGTAGGCAGTGCTCAGACTACAGGTAGATGAGGCCTGGTTACATGGAGGTAGTAGAGAGGTCTTTTGCAGGCCTCTGCTTGCTGGAAGTCCAGCCCAGATCCTCCACCTGATCCAACTCATGTGAATTGCCGAAAGCCCAAGAACACATCCTCCCTGTCACAAACCTCACTCTTTTCCCTCTCACCTCAGCTCCTCACTACTGTAAAAATAGTCAGATTTTTTTACTACTGTAAATGTGAAATGCTAACGAGATAGTTGTGAGGTAAAGAATTTATATACAATAAAAGTAATCCATTGTAAGTGTGTGGTTTGTTTTACAATTGCATAGCCAAAAAAATCAAGATACAGATCCTTCCATCATTCCAAAAACCTGCCCTGTGCTAGTCTGCAGTTACCTTTTCCTTCAGCCCCAGGAAACTACTGCTCTGGTTTTATCTATTCTATCATTTCCTATGGAGTTCTGTTGTAGCACTGTAGGATAAACAATCAAACACAGGGTCAGTGGTTCAAACTCACCAGCCATTCCTACACAGGGTCGCTATGAGTCGGAACTTACTCTACGGCACTTACCAACAAAAACATCACTTACTATAGTTTATTGGTTGACTCTGTTCATTTACCATAACGTTTTTGAGATTCATTCACACTGTGTATCAATTTTTCATCCCTTTTTATTATTGAGTAGTATTTCCTATTTCTGTAGTGTGGCAATAACACTAGTTGCCTACCAATTAACCACTGATGGTCATTTAAGTTGTGTTCAATCCTTGGCTATGGACAATGTTGCTATGAACATGCATTTACAGCTTTGTGTGGACATATATTTTCATTTCTCATGGGTAATAAACCTAGGAGTGGAATTTCTGGTTTATAGCAAGTATGTGTTTAACTTTGAAAGAGTGTGCTAATTTCTAATAAAGTTCTCAGACCATTTTTTATACTTACTACGGAGTCCTGGTGTGGTGCCATAGGATAAGTACTCAACCTCAAGGTCAGTGGTTCAAACTCACTAGTCACTCCTCATAAACCCTATATAGGGTTGCTATGAGTCAATACCAACTCAATAGCACTTAATAACATCATGAGTTTAATATTTCAGAATCCCAATTGCTCCTTGTTGTTATGTGCTGTCGATTCAGTTCTGAAAACTTGTAAGACTTGGGGAAAAAAAATTGAGTTCCAGCTTCACTGAATTTTGTCAGGATGTCCTAACATTTACTGAAAAAGGGTTTTAATCTCCAATTACAACTGTGGAATTATTTATGTCCAAAATTCTGTCATTCTTCATTTCGTGTATTTTAATTTGTGATTAAGTGCACATACACTGTTATGTCTCTTGAGATACTGAAACTTTTGATTATGAAATGTTCTTGAAATTTATTTTATTACTATTAATATGACTATTCTAACCTATTCATACTTAATGTTTGTATGGCTTATTTTTTCCCACCCATTTATCTGTCAATATATTTGTGGTTTTACATTTAAAATGTGTTAGTCTTGTTATTTTTTTAAATCCAGTCTGATATCTGCCTTATAATTACATTTTTTATGTAATTGGACAAAACAACCTTAAAAGTTTTGTTATACTATTTTACTCTGTGTTTTCCATTTGTCCATTTTACTTTATATTCCTTGAACAAGATTTTCCTATTTGAATTTCAGCTCTAAAATTATAATTTCCCTATTAGTCCTTTACCTATACTTCATGACACATGTGTGTGTTTGCTCTAAGACAAGGTTTCTCAACAATGGCATGAATGACATTTTGGGTTGAATAATTGTGCTGGGTTGTCTTGTACTTTATATAGAGATTTATCAGCATCTTGGCTTCTACCCACTGATCTTACCAGTTGTGAAAATCAAAAATGTGTTTAGACACTGTCAAAAGTCTCCTGGGACATAAAAATCATCCCTCATTGAAAGCCGTGATTCTAGAAACTACAAATATTTATCCTTCAAATTTCATAGTCTATTCATAGTTAATGTTCTACCACTTAATAGAAAATGTAAAAACCATGCAACCTTAAGTTCACATTGCTCACTCTCAGCCAGCCCTTTAGGCTATGCTGTTGTTAGGTGCCAATGAAGTAGTTATGACTCACAGTAACCCTGTATACAAAAGAACAAAACACTTTCCAGTACTGCACCATCTTCATAATCATTGTTAAATTGGAGTCCATTGTTGTACAGTCACTGTGTTAATTCACCTTGTTCAGGGCCGCCTTCTTTTTTGCTGATGCTCTAGTTCACCAAACATGATATACTTCTCCAGGCTCTGGTCTTTCCTGAGACCATGTTCAAAGTGTGTGACACAAATTCTCACCATCATCAGTACTAAGGAGTATTCTGGCTGTATACCTTCAAGACAGATTTGTTCATTCTCTGTAAGTCAACAGCATATTCAATATTCTTAGTCAACACCATAATTCAAATGCATCAGTTCTTCTCCAGTCTTCCTTATTCACTGTTCAACTTTCACAAGCTTATGAAAGAAGTCTTTTGTAGCAGATGTACCTAATTCAAAATATCATTTGATTTCTTTATTGCTGTTACCATGGATGTTGATAATGGATCACAGTAAAATGAAATCCTTGACAACTCTAAACTTTTCTTCATTTATCATGATGTTATCAATCCTGTTGTGAGAATTTTATTTTTTATGTTGAGGTGTAATCCATACCAAAGACTATATTCTTTGATCTTCATCAGTAAATGCTTCAAGTTCTCTTTCTCTCAGCAAGCAAGGTTGTATCATCTGCATATTGCAGATTAATAAATCTTACTTCAATCTTGATACCTTATTGTTCTTCATGTAATCCAGCTTCTCAGATTATTTGCTTATCATACAGATTGGATAAACATGGTGAAGGAATACAAACTAATATATACCTTTCCTGATTTTAAATCATGCAGTCTCCCCTTGTTCTGTTGAATGATTGCCTCCTGGTCTATGTATAGGTTCTGCATGGGCACAATGAAGTGTTCCGGAATTCCTATTCTTTGCATTGTTATCTATAATCTGCTATGATCCACACAACTGAACACCTTCTCATAGTTGATTCAACACAGGGATCCTCTGCTTTCAGCTAAGCTCCATCTGACAGCAGTGCATATATCTCATGACCTTTTCTGAATCTTGCTTGAATCTGGCAGTTCCCAATCAATGTGCTGCTGTAACTCTTTATGAATTACCCACAGCAAGATGGTATGCTATAGTTATCATATGTATTGTATCTGCATGTTATAAATTTGTTATAATTTTTATTGCTCCGAACAGCAAAAAAATATTTTTAAAAGTGAGATGAAAAAATATTTTATTTCTCCACATATTTACAATTTCTGAAAATCTTTAATCTGTTCTGGGGACAGTATCATTAACCTTCAGCTAGAAGAACTTAAGTATTTCTTACAGTACCATCTACTATACTGGCAAAAAATTCTTTTATTTCATCTGAAAGTGTCTTTATTTCACCTTCATTCCTGAAGGGCATTTATGCTGAATATAGAATTCTGGGTTGTGTCTCTTTCAACACTTTGAAAATGTCCTACACTCTCTCTTCTTGCCCTAATAAATTTTAAGAGAAGGCCATTCATTAAGAGGATCATTGTTACTCTGAATATACTACTTGCTTTTTCCTTTGTTCTCAAAATTAATAAAGAAGACCGTACAAGCACTGATACACTTGAGTTACGGTGTTGGGAGAATATCCAAAGTACCATGGGCCACCAAAAGAACAAATCTATGTTGGAAAAGACACAGCCAGAATGCTCCTTAGAAACCAGGATGGCCACACCTCATCTCTCATACTTTGGACATATTATCAGGAGGGACCAGTCCCTAGAGAAGGACATCATGCTTGGTAAAGTGGAGGGTCAGAGAAAAAGAGGAAGACCCCCAATAAGATGGATTGGTACAGTGGCAATAAGCAATTGGCTCAAGTGTAGCAATGATTATGAGGTTGAAAGAATGGCACAGTTTCATTCTGTTGTGCTTAAGGTTGCTATGAGTTGGTATAGTAGCTTGATGACACCAAACAGCTAAAAAAAAAGTCTTCTTAATGCTTAGTCTGTGTTCTTTGACCATCTTGAGTGTATAAATTTATGTCTTTTACTATATATCTTGGAAACTTCTGGTCATTAGTTT